TGTGGCCATCATGCCCACATCCAGGGCTGTTAGAGAAGCAGGCTGCGGACACCCTTTGTGTAGGCACAGCAGCAGCCATTATCCTGAGTGCCCATGAAACCGCTGGACCAGAGGCCACACTGGTTCTGAGTCCCAAGCAGCTCTGTGTGGTGGGGCTCTCCTCCCCATCTGACTCCTGACCACACGGTGAAAGTGGCAAAGCCGGAGCCTTGCCCTGGGTTTGTCAGATCCCCAAATCTGTGTTCTCCCTGCTGGCCCCCAGGGCACCATGTTCAGGTTTTCTGGCTCCTTGGAGAAGGGATACCATGATTGGCACCTGAGGAAAAGGGGCACCAAGATACCTGAGAAAAGAGGCCTGGGCAAGCTCTTAACTGAGTCTAGAATGATATGGAAGCTTAGGTTATAGAGAGAGGACATGTTCAGACAGGGTTCCGTTGTCAAGCCAACATCTGGAGTCATAACCCCCAAAGCCTCCTTAGCTCTGCTCTATCAAGTACCACCGTTAACCCCAGCCTCTCTTCCTCAGCCCCTCCCAGTTCACCAGACCCCTACCCTGCTTTGGTGTCCCACATTTACAACCAGGTTTTTAGTGAAACTGGCAGTTCACAATGCACACTCCTCTGTTCTTTCTCTGCTTCTGGGCAGGTGATATCCCCATTGTTCAGATGAAGAAAGTAAAGGCCAAGGAGGTGAGTGGCATCCTTAGCAATTCATGCAGGGCTTCTGACTTGTGTGACATTAAGCACACCGAAGCCCGCAGATATCCTTATACATGAGAATGGGGCTTACCTCAGTCCCTGGAAAGTTCATGGAACACTCAATGCTTTTTTTTCTTTTCTTTTCTTTCTTTCTTTTTCTTTTCTTGTGTGTGTGTGTGTGTGTGTGTGTGTGTGTGCGCGCGCGCACGCGTGCATGCATGCATTTGAAGAGCAGCTATTCACAAGACTACAAGACTGGCTATTTTGGAAAACCTGAGCAGTTTCTTGTGTACTATAAAAAAGGTTATCATGGATGAGGGGCAGGTAGAACTGTGCTTGGTTAGTACACACCTACTTTCATGAATGGTTTGACCACAGGCCTAGCCCTACCCTGCTCAGAGAAAGCCTTTTGTGTCAATATGTGCTCTCCCTGTCAGGTCTCATTCAGAGCTGTTTTGCAGGCAAGTGGGTGAAATTTCTTCCAGCTGACATTTGCCTGCCATCCTGTCTCATATTGTTCCTGATAAATCCCTGAAGGGAGAGGCCTCTGCAGTCCCAGAGGTGGTGCTGGTGTGAAGGGGATGGATTTCACCATGGCCCAATTTTTCCTGAGCTGGGAGCCCACTGGGTGTTTGGTGAGGACTGCCCTCAAAACACGCAGTGGCCCTTGTTTGGGGTCCTGAAACCAAATGAGGAAGGGACAGGGGAGAAGGACAAGTTATGAAGAGACTGCTCTGCCCTTTTACAAGCTGCAAAGTGAGAGTCATGTCTCTACTTTAGGTCTGGAAGGGGCAAAGCTCTTCGGGGTCTGGGCTGTGGTTCTAGGATGACTCGGCCACCCTGCCTGGCTCAGGCCACTTGGACGCCACCTGTCCTGTTTCAGGACATCTCTCCACATAGACCTATTAGTCTTGCACAGACCTGCCACTCAGAATTGAGCCTGGTGCTTCCTCGATCAAGGAGGCCTGCTATGCCTGCCAGCAACTGAGCTGCGACCAGGAACAGGCCCTCCTGGGGATCAGGTGATGGTGGAGTACTGCTTCAAGGGAGTGCAAAGGAAGATGCAATAGCACCTGTGCTCTCAGATACTTCTGCTTCAGGGGCAGCACCCACTGAGGAAAAACAGAGTAGGGCTGGTGTGAAGAACAATAGAGTTACCAGGAGAGAGCCCACTGAAAGACAAGGCCTCACAGGCCCTGTAAGGCCAGGTCTGAAACGGGAAAGGAGAGGCCCATGCCTCCCAAGAATAGAGAACCAGAAAGTAAAACAAAGAGGGGAAGGCAGTGGGATGGAGGGCAGAAAGCAGAGATCTATGACTTCATGGCATTCCTAAGGAAGGATGTGGAACAGTTGGAACTGAAGTGGTAAGCATAGTCAGAGAGAGAACTTGATTGAGATGGAATGCCCATCCAAAGTCTGGCTGTCCTCAAGGAAAAAAAAAACAAACCATTTTTAAAGGCCCACAAGTAGATGCATCTATGTCAAAAAGTTTTTACATTCAAAAATGGAGAGACATTCTGCAAGCATTGGAAGAATTAGGTGGTCACCCCACTGTACCGCAGTTGTCTGCAATGGTAGGTGGAACCTGCAGAGAGGATCCCCTGATCTGAGGAGCCCATCTGTCTCCATGTGCTGAGAAAAAAATCCACACATCCTCCTTAAGTAAGAAATCTCTAAGACCTCTTTTGTGCTGTGTGAATAATGAAGCAGAGCTGTGTCCTCAAGGATGGGAACAGCCTCATCCCAATGGTTGCATCCTCAGAAAGCAACCTGATAGAATTGCATGTTGCTGGGACAGAGCCTGGCCAGCATGAACTGCTGGGCTGTCCTTTCTGCTCCCCTCCTTCCTGGAAATTAGAAGATTGTTTCTCCCAGTATGCCCTGTACCTTCTGAGTCGCCAACTTTTGAGTTGGCATGGCATAGCTTCTTTAGTTTATAAATCATCGTTTTTATTTCAGCTCTTAGCCTGAGTTTCAACTGGTCTTAATCAAACGTGGTCACTTCACTCCTCTCTTTAGTGACAGTTTTAATCATAGACCTAGGCAAATGACCCTGTTCTGACTAGTGAAAAAGTAAGAAGCTGATGTGCAAAAAACAACAGACCTGAGATGACAGCCACCGCCAGGTTTGGTGCAGGGGAAGGAGGAAAGATCTGAGCCAGGCGGCATCACTGATGGCACAGCAATACTGGAAGTGCTACCTCCAGACTCTTACAATGTGACAGTAAATCCTGGGTGTCTTACTTCCTAAGCAGCTGAGTGTTATGTTTCTTCATGTTCATAACTGATGAACTCAGTGTCTTTGAGTTATCTTAAAATAATAATGATGCAGTAGATGAGAGGATAGAAAGCTGTGGTACAATAGAATACTGCGGCTGTAAAAAGAAGGAAATCTTACCTTTTGAGACAGCATAGATGGACCTGGAGAACATTATGCTAAGTGAAATAAGCCAGTAAGAGAAAGACAAATGCCATATGATCTCACCTGTATGTGAAATCTAATGAACAAAATAAACAAAAAAACAAAATAGAAACAGACCCGTAGATAGAAAACAGACTAACAACTCTCAGAGGGGAAGGAGTTGGGGAGCTGGGTAAAAAGGATGAAGGGATTAAGCAAAAAAAAAACTTATAGACACAGACTACAGTATGGTGATTACCAGAGGGAAAGGGGGGTGGGGAGATATGGGAGAGGGTACAGTGGGGATAAATGGTGATGGAAGACTTGACTTTGGGTGGTGAACAAATCATACAGATGATGTATGATAGGATTGTATACCTGAAACCTTAGGTAATTTTATCAACCAATGTCATTCCTATGAATTCATAAAAACTTTTTTAAAAATTCTTTTAAATAATGAGGGTGCTGTTCTGTTCCAACATATACTGCATGGCTAGATTTTTAAAATATAGAGATCCTGGGCTGGGAGAATTATTCATCTACAAGTCCTCCTGTGCAACAAGAGCATAAAGCATATAGTGATCCTTTCATTACTGAGAACTTTGGTGAGTGGTTTTCTGTGTTTTTCACTCTCACTGAGTGCCCTGAGCCTTGGATGGTGTTTATTCTGAAAGGCTGCATCAGGTATTTTGATTCCTTCTATGGCTGTGAAGGTTCCTATGTGGACCTAGCCTGAAAACCAAGTTAGAAAACCATCTGTGGAACCAGTAGGACCCAAACTGTGAAAACAAACAAACAAAAAAAATCACACCTCTCCCACTTCCTGCATATGACCTTGGGCAAGTTACTTAACCTCTCTGTGCTCCAGTTTCCTGATTTGTAACAGGGGTGATAAATAATACCACACAATGCACAGAGCTTTTAGAAGTAGGTGAGTAGGGTGGGGCCTGGCACAAAGGCAGCTTTGTGGTGTGACTCTGTGTGTGTGTGTGCATGCGTGTGTGTGTGTGTGTGTGTGAGAGAGAGAGAGAGAGAGAGAGAGAGAGAGAGAGAGAGAGAGAAGGAGGAGGAGGAGAAGGAGGAGAAGGAGGAGGAGGAGGAGGAGAAGGAGGGGAGGGGGTGGGGGGAAGAGGGGTGAGAGGAGGAGGAGGAGGGAGGGAGAGAGGAGGAGAAGAAGGAAAGGGGAGGAGACAGGAGGGGAGGAGCAATGAAAAAGGAGTAAGGAAGGAATATACCAGTCAGAGAGGAGCCCAAGGACACTGATGACCAAATTTAGCGTAATCTTTATTTCACTTTTTTGTTTTTGTTTCATATTTTAAAAAGAAAATCTTAAGTTTCTGTAGGTTCTAAGCCTCCTTTGAAAAATTAAGAAAGAAAAAATAAGAAAGTACTCCCCAAATACTGAAGTGGTTATATCTAAGAAGTGAGATTCTGAACAATTTTCTTTTTTAGACCTTCCTATAATATTCCACTTTTCCTCATTGTGCATATATGCTTCTGAAATCAGAAAAGCAACTTTGTGTGAGGAAGTAGCTACAATGTATATAATCAATGTGTATATATATATATAATGTATATATACAATGTGTATATAAGTCACAATCAGGAATACAACTTAGGCCAGAATTATCCTGGGAGGCAGTAAGCATCAGCACAGAGGTCCTCCAGCTGACTACTGGGCCCTTTCCCGCTAGTGCAAGACTGCAGTCCCCCTGGCATCTGCTGCTGCTGAGCCTCAGCCCCCACATCATTAGACCACCTGTGGCCCCCTGGTTCTCTCTGAGGAGTAACTGGATGCTCATGTGCCACACTTGCTGCCTAAGCCATGTTGTTGAATGAGAGCCAATTCCCTCTCCTGCCCACTGCAACTGAGCCCCAGGTCTTCCTGCTCTGTTCTGCAGGCCTTACAGGCTACAGCCCGTGTGCTCAGGGCTACAGGCCCAGATCCTTCGCTGCTACCGTGACCACCTGCATGAGGTGCTCCTGTGCTCGGACCTGGTCAAGGCTTACCAGCACTGTGTGATCGCTGCCCACAAGGTAAACCCCCTGGCTGCAGGGCTGTGGGGGGAATGGGGGACAGGCGCCGCCAGTACTGACACTGTCTGACATCTTTGTCTGCTACCTCAGACATTCTATCCCCAAGGTCTCTGCCTTTTACACAATGAGGGACTGACTTGTAGGCCTTAGATTCCCTCAGTCACCTCCTGGGTCAGATTTCCTGCCAGGCTGTTTCCACCAGTGTTCTTAGAAATCTGGTCTAGGAAAAGGGCCCTGTGGGTACTGGGCCCTACAAGGCCAAGCCTAGGAGCAGCACTATGTAAAGTCAGGCCCCACCTTCAAGGAGCCAGCCACATAGTTAAGGGCATGCGTATGCGACCCACTTCTTACCTCTGATCACTTGGGGGTGGGAGAATGGAGGAGAGCCCATGGTATAGGTAGGGGTCATGGAAAGGGCAGGAAGCCCTGTGGAAGGGAAGAGGTTGGAGTTCTGGGGGTGGAGGAATAGGTGTGGTCTGTCTTAGAGGATGAGGGGCCTGACTGTACCTCTCTGCCCACCCCACTCTTATGGTCTTCTGAAGAGGACCAGCCTCTATTGGGTGGCAAGGGGTAAGAGTGGGCCCAGGTCTCAGGGGATGCGGCTGTCCTAGACATATGAGGCTGACAGCCTCCCTCCCCTGAAACGTGGTCCCAAGGTCTTGCCCTCTTTCCCTGACCCTCCCAGACAGTTGTCATTCCCTTCCTACATTCCCTGATTCCTGTCCCTCTTCTAGACCCTTCCATCCCACTCCCCAGACCCAGCAGTACACTGTTCTAGACTGGACCTGGCCCCTCCTCCACCCTGACATAGCACCCCACTCCCGCCCACACATACACCCTTAGGCGCACCTTGGTGGCTTGGACTCAACAGAGGACTGGTGTGTTTGTTGAAGGCTGTGAGCCCTGGCTAAGCATCTCAATTGGTTGGAGTGTCGTCCCATGCACCAAAAAGGTTGTGGGTTTGATTCCCAGTCAGGGCACTTACCTAGGCTGTGGGTTCAACTCCTGGTCAGGGCACATAGGGAGGCAACCAATTGATGTTTTACTCTCTCTCCCTTCCTCTTTCTAAAATCAATATTCTCAAGTGAGGATTTTTTTTGAAGAAAAGAAAAAACAGAACTGTAAGATGGGGACTTTTTCCCATGAAAAAGCCTCTTTTGCCCAAGTGGGAGACAAGCTGCTGGAAGTACTGGTGGTGGAAAGCCTAAGGTCAAAGGTCAAGTGGCCCTCAGGCCTGGTCTGGCAGAGTCGGCTGCTCAACAGCCTGGCCTCACCAGAGCCCTTCTCACTTTTCTGTCAGCCTGTCTGAGAGTCTGCCCAGCTCATGCCTGCTCAGAGTCAGCTCTGGGACAGAGTGAACCTAGCTGCAGGCTCACACAGGATCAGGTGAGCACAGAGCCTGGATAGGAGGTCATTTTCTCACCCTTATGGAGCATGGAAAGCTGTTTTTTTGACTTCAAGTTGAGCATAAAAGACATTGCCAACCATCACTACAGCACTGTCCATGGAAGGAGCCTGGTGCTGGGCCGGCTTGCTAGACCACACTGGGTGGGCCCTTCCAAGCCCCTGCTCACTACGTACCTAACTTTATTTTTACCAAGGAAAAGATCTGGGATCCTGCTGTAGCCCCCTTGGCTTCCTGGCAGAGTCCCATCTCTGTCCTCCCTCTCTCCATCCAGGACCCATGTCCAGGGCAGTTGTCAGTCCTTCTCCCCAGCAGGGTGTGTCTTTAGTAGTGCTACCAATGTAGCTTCATTGCACCAAGGCCAAGATATGATCTCAAAAGGAGGCAGATTGCATTTAACTCCATCGTGCTCTCTGTAGCTCCAGCATACTCGAGAGATACTCTGGGGCACTGCCAGGCCTGGCTCCCTCTTTTCCACACCTGTGCCGTCCCTCCCCGCATAAAAGCATGTTTGACTTGACTCCAGAAGGGCCTCAGTGCCAGACCATCTAATTGTACCCTGTGTGTGGAAGGTAGGCAGTGCCAGAGAAACTCCTACTGCCCCCCACCAGCCTCCATCACAAAAGGAGCCTGACAGAGTCAACAATGGGAGTTCGGGGACCTTTAATAGTGATTTGCATGTAGAAACAGTCAGGTGGCAGCATCTCCGGCAACAGGGAGTAGGTGCAGAACAGAGGCCCACCTGGTTGGGAGTTGTGTGGAAAGCACTTTCCAGACTGGACAAGTTCCTGCCCCTGTGCAGTGCCTTCTGAGCCTGGGGACAGGAGCATGTGTGTGGATGTGGACAGCAAGCAAAAGTGTGAGGGCTTTATACCAGAGCATGCTTTCCGAGTGGTTTCACATAGACAATTCTCGGAGAACAGAGAGGAGACCTCAGTAGGTCTGAGGAGAACTAGCTGAGACCTGTCCATCTGTGAGGTCAGGGAGGTCATACAAGCAGAGGGTCCATGTTAGCTGGTCCTTACAAGCACACGCTGAGTGGCTACTGGGCATGGAAGTGAAAAGGCCCAGTTCCAGGTCTTAGAACCAGCTGGGGAGGACCGTTTCCATTAAAGAGGTATACGCCGGGACAGCCCAAGAGCCTGGACTCTCTTGGAGCCTAGGCCTGAGGGTGAGCTGGGTTGCTCACCATAACCCTGCTCACCGTGACTGAACTCTGACCTGTTCTCCTTTGTAGGGTTGAGAAACAACAATCATTCCTGACCCTGGCTGTGACTTGGAGCCCTAGAGAAGAGACCCATTATGAGACCACAGCCTACAGGCCCCCAGGCCACAGCCATTTTCTGCCAGATACCCGCTGTACCGCTGTGCTTGGGGCCACCATGTGTTTAAGAAATGGAAGATGTGCTACTGTCCGAAAACAAATAAAGCAACTATCTTTGTTTTCAGTCATTTCCACAGCTGGCAAACAGTCACAGCTACCTCCTCTGTGCAGCCCTGTGGTGGGCCTAGCAATGTAGGCTAACGAGACAAGGCTGTACACCTTGAAGAGCACCCAGGCCATCAGGGGAGACAGGTGAGAACCCATAATTCTGCTGCAGCTGCAGAAGCAGGTATGAGATAAGATGAGGGGAAAATGGTTCTTTCTAGGGACAGAGCAGGAAGAACAGGCCAGCTTTCTGACAGAGGCTCTGCCTGAGCTCCAATTTGAAGCCCAGTGGAGGACTGCTGGGCACACTAAAAGCTTGTTAGAATGGGATCTCAGATGCGGGCTTGGAGGAGCACAGACTGTACACACTGGGCATTTGCAGAAAGCAAATTGGGGGCCACAGCGCTGGGGGATAGATGCCAGACCAAACTGCTAGAAGACTGTCTAGCAGGGAGCAGCACTGTCCAGTCCCTCCAAGAGATGCCACACGCGTTTCCAGGGGAGGGTGGGCTCAAGTTGGGCAGGACACCTGATGGCTAGTGGGGTGAGATAGGGGTCAGATGGAGACCAAGCTCAGGAGCTAAAATGGCAGGACTCTGGGTCTGTGTGGGAGGAGGGGATCAAGGATGATTTCCAAATTTCTGGCTTGGGTGTTGTTGATTCTACAGACTGAAGTAAGGGACACAAGGGATTGAGACAGGCAGAAGACAGCTGGATTTGAGATGTGCTCTGCTCAGTTGATGTCTATAAACACTGGCCTGCTAGTCCTTGACCTTTGGCAGGACCCCCAGCTAAGGCACCTTGAGCACCCAGGACTGCACTGTGGCCTTGCCCAGTGCTGTGAGCCAGCAAGAAGAATTTGAGGCAGGGCTTCTGATCTACTAACCACTCTGCTGGTGGCCTTGGATTTCCTGCTAAAGTTTGGAGAGTCCCAAGCCATCTGGAGTTAAGAGGTGGAATCTTAGGCTTTGCAACCCAAACATCTCTGCTCATCCCCAGATCCTCATTCACAAACTCAATTGGGAGATTGAGGCTGGGCAGTGTCCAGGTGTATGAGGAGGTAGCATACAGCAGTTTTATTCAGCCAGGCTACAATTGTCTGAGAGGAAAAGAGCCTTAAGAGATGCTCTCTCTAGAAGTTCTGGGTCAGCTTACCGAGCTACATAGAGGTGAGTGGTCAGGGTGGATGTCAGGGTGCTCTGTTCTGAGCCCCCTCCCAACTTCCCCCTGGCAGCCCAGGAAGGAGGTGGCCCTTTGCAAGGTCAGCCTGGTGGACAGGTCACCTGGCTGATTGATCTTTTTTAAAAATTTATTTGTATTGTATTTTTTTCATTACCATTTATCCTCCTTAAACCCTGTTCCACCTCCACCTGGCTGATTGATCTTAAGTGACATCAGAACAATCATTCAGCCAGAAACTGCTGAGACCCTTCTGAGACTCCCTCAGAAGGCTCTGGTGTCTAGGGCTTTGTCCAGCTTCTAAATCTCACAGGAATAACTCCAGACTCCATACTCCTACCCAGGAGTAATTTAGGGGCAGCTGTATATACACATGGGTCTCTGTACACCTGTTCACCTGAGTATGTGTGTGTGTGTGTGTCTGTGTGTGTAGGTGCCTTTGTGTATATGTGTAAGTATATGCATGTATACTTATGTTTGTGCACAGGCAGCCAGCTGTGTTCGCCATCTGATAATGCTCCTAGTCTTTCTCTAGTTGGATCTCAGCCCATTTCCCTGACTCTTCTGGAGTCAGAAACAAGCTTCCCTTGCTTGATATCTACCCCTTCCCTACTGGGCTCTTAAGGAGTATATGTCCAAAGCCATCTGTTTCACTATATTTTGAATGTCAGTTTGCGTGCAGGACGGGGAGTGCATGTGCTTAGGGTGCAGGCTTTGGCGCATATGTGTATACATCTGTACATGATCTGCTTAAGTGTGGACCTGCATCTCCAATCCCTCCATGCGGCCATACCTATAGAAAGTCAGACCTGAGAGAGAACTACATGGGTGAGGACTATGTCCAGCAGGGTGTAGACCTGGAGGCAGATAATCCTGGGCTCAGGTCCCAGCTGCCTGACTACTGAAATAATTAATAGCCATCCAGCCCAGTTGTGGGGGATTAAATATGATGATGCTGGCTGTGAGTGACATCCAGGATCCAACCAGGAAACTATTGTAGAAAGCACTCTAATTATTTAAACAGGGAATTGAATACAGTGAGTTGCTCACAAAGAAGATGGAGGAGCTGAAACCTTAAATGGGATGGTATAGTAACCTAGAAATTAGCAACAGTGTGCAGCTCCTGTCACTCCAGGGCTAAAGGGACAAAGGGAAGAGGCAGGATTGCCCACTGGAAGCTAGCACCACAGGGGCCCTGCTCAGCAGATCTGGTGCCACTGAGGAGACACTGCTGCTGCAAAAGTTGCTGCCCATGGACTCTTCCCCTCCTCCCACCCTCAATCCTCCATTCATTCGTGTCCCTCCTTGGCTGAACCTAGCAGGGATGGGAGGATAAGCCAGCCCCAGAGCCGCCCCTTACATGGAGGAGTGGCACCGAGGCCCAGGACCACAAGCAGGTTAGCAGGAAGCACATTAGCATGACTTTTGGGATGTACTGGGCGGGCATGTGTGCCTGTGCTTAGGTGGGTGTGAGTAGTAGGTGCCAGTGTCAGCATGTACACACACCTGTGTACATTTACATTTTGTGTTGGCACATGATGGCCAGCTTGCAAAGAATATTCCCAACTATTAATCAAGTTCATCAGACATTTAATCACATGCTAAGTACTCTCTCACACGTGTCTCACGCAGTCCTACGGGACAGTTACTGCCATTACTGCCCCACTTTACAGACTAAGAAACTGTGGCACAGAGAATGGGAGTAACTAACCTCAGACTGCACGGTGCTCAGTGCTGATGCTGCACCTCCTTTTGGAAGTGAGGTCCTGGTTGTATGCTGAGTCAGGCTCCAAGAATCCAGCAGAAGGGGGCAGTTCTGTACTCTTTCCCCTTGACTGGCTCCCGGGATGGGGAGTGTGGCCCCTGGCAGAAGTGATGGCTAGAGTTCATTCCTTCCCATACTATTATTGACCTGGGGAGGCCCAGCAACACCAGGGCAGGGTCCTGGCCCCAGAGCAGGTTGAGGTACTGATTTCTTCCCATTGGGAGAAAGGGGTCCTGCCTCAAACATGTGCTGCCACCTCATCCATCCACAATAGCTACCTTCCCCACCTAACACAGGCACAGCCACAGACACTCCAAGTCATTGTAGGTGGCGGAGGTAGGGGCAAGAGCAGGGTGCGGAGGAAATGTCTGATGCGCACTGGGCAAAGGTGGGGGGGCAGAGTGTCACTGCAGATATGGAGAGGGCCCTGCACTGTGTCCACTGCTGGAGGAGGTGACTAAGTGTGACCTCTCAGGAGGACGCTTTTGGTTAAAAGCAGCAAAAGCCTTTTGAAGTATACAAACTCACAAAAAAAATACAACCAAGGAAATGACACTCCCCCTGCCAAGTCATCTGTAGTTGTTTACAAGAGATGTCACCTTAATGCTGAGGTCATGGGTTAGTTGACAACAGAAAAATAGAAAAAGATAAACCTGCAAACTCTGAGGAAGCTGGAATGGTCATGTTCCTATGAGACAAGGTAGACATCAAGACAAGGAGTGTTGGGAGCAACAGAGGAGCTATTTCAAATAGTAATGGAGACAAGGTCCAGGGAGACTTAAAAACCTTATTGTGTGTGCACCTGGTGAGAGCAAAATATACAAAGAAAGATTGACAGATCAGATAGGGGAAACTGCCAAATCCACAGTTGTCATCGGATCTTTGAGAGCATGCACCCCTCTGCCCAGCTATGGTGGATCAGTAACTCAAAAGAAATCAGAGTGCACAGGTCGTGTGTCCCAGGCTGTTTGTCGTGGCCCTTACTAGGTCTGTTCAGTGCCTGCTAGGTAACCTGATTTGGAGTATCTAAGCAGCAGCAGTTGCTGAGCCTCTAAGCCTGTTTCCTCATCTGTAAAAGGAAGACAGTTGCATGTACCACCTTCTAGGGGCTGGTGAGGACAGATGTCCCTCAGTTGGTGCTCATTAGTGTGATTGCAGAGGGCCTGCCATTCAGATTCCCTTCAGGGCTGGTCATAGACAACCTTCAACCCTGAGTTCTCTCCCTCTGGGAAGTGCCTTTGCTAAGGAGGCACTTCACCAAAGCCATAACCCAGGGGTCCAGGGGCTACATTCAATTACAAGGGCATCCCTACCCAAGAGCTGAGCAGGGCCTTAGTGACACTGCTTGGGAGGCCAGCTTGTCCCCTTGCCCTGGCTCTCTCCCCTTACTAGTAAGTGTTGACCTCAAGAGCACTCCCTAATAAATGTCCTGCAGGTTCATCTCTGCCTCAGACTTGGCTTCTCTGTTATTATTTATATCCTAGGCACTGTGAAAACCATGGCAATACCTGATCCATGCCCGCTTGGCTTATGGCCTAGCAGGAGAACTAACATTGGAGCTCAGTTGTGAGAAGGCCCCTAGGAAGAGGCCCTAGGAGCTTTGACCTGGGGTTCCTGTGCTGTGGGGTCAGGGCTTCTCTGAGTTGAAGCTTATTCTGGGACCTGAGGGCAGAGCCAGAGCTGACCAGGTAAAGTGACTGCTTCATTTATCATAGTGTTTATAACAAGGGCAAAGAACTGGAAACAACCTAAGTGTCCAACAATAGGGGGTGCATGAGATAGAACCAGAGGCATCACCTGTAAGAGGAATCTGCTGAACTAAATAAACTAATGAACAAAATAGAACCAGAGGCATGGACACACAGAACAGACTGAAAGTGACCAGGGGAGAGTGGGGAGAGAAATAATAGTGGAAAGAAGGGGAAGGGACAGGTCAAAGAACATGTGTGAATGACCCATGGGCATAGAAACAGTGTGGGAATTGACTGTGGGACCACCAGGTGGGCTGGGCA